AAAAATAAAAAAGAACATGATGGAAACCATATTGAAATAGTAAGTGAGGTCAACACAAGTAGTTCGTATTACGGCAGCATAGTCACAGAAAGTGTACTGCAGCTTTGAGGAGCAGTGAGGGAGAGGAAGCAAGGCTGCAAGCAGTACAGCCACAAAAGCACAAGCAACAACCCACAGAATACATATAATGACAAAAGTACGCACATTTGTTAAATAACTGTGGTACTGAAAGGGATAGCTAACAGCAATCAATCGATCAAATGCCATAGCCGATAAAGCTAACATCTCCATCGTCCCTCCCACGTGTACAGCAAACATTTGAACTAAGCAAGGCACATACGAAATAGTATTAACCCTAGCAACTAAAACCCCAATCATTGTTGGACCGGTACTGGAGGCGTACAGTATATCAACAACAGCAAGGTTGCAAATCAGAAGATACATTGGTTTGTGTAATCTTTTGTCAACAAGAATGAAGAAGATGTTTAATATATTGGCTAGAATGGCTAGAACATAAGTAATCAAAATAACCACACCAACCAACATAGGTCTGTTGGTTGATTCAAAACCACCAATAATAAATTCTGTTACTTTGATTGAAGCATTCTGCAAAGGCATATTCAACAAAATATCAAGATAAAATAATACAAAAAAGAAGTTGAGGAAAAGACATTATAGATTATAACCAACTGTAACCACCTGTCTGATTTTACAAAAATAACTGACATCAATCAAACAGCTTTCACTATAGCCAACAATGGAGATTACCAGACAGGCTTTATGGCTGACGGGAACAGAAACTTTTCATTGGGCAGACCCATCGTCCAATCACATTGAACATTGTCTCCAGCTAATTTGAGCTTGTATGTGGTAGCTTAAACCATTTAGCAAAATTCTGCACAGAAATCCAATTTTTGCTGCAGGTCAGTTAAGAGACTTATGTAACAACTGCATTTTCATGTGATTAGATCGAGAGCACTTCTGTACTGGAAAGTGGTCAGAAATCCGCTCATTGTAAATATACCATGGGAAGCCCTAAAGAATACCCTGCTTTATGGTCTATTTCACTCTAAATGTGACCATAATTTACAAAAGGATATCATGATTTGTTGAAGAAGACTTGAAACTAGCTATTAAGACCATAAACTCATGGTCACAATATTTACTAAGGTAATAAATCAAGTGAGAAGTAGGGTCATTTTATCATAGACTTCCAGACAATCAGACTTCTTTTTGCAATCAGCAGAGTCATCTCCTGTTGGTCAGTAGAGACTGCAAGCCTAAAGGCTTAAAATGAATAATTAAATAAGTAAATGTAAACTAATATACAAAGCTCCTGGTTAGCTCTAGTCGTATATTTACAAACGTTTTATATCCAGCCATGTTCTCCTGAAGGAGAATGTCTTTGTTTGTTTGTTTCTTACATGAATGAATGGCTGAGAGGTTTGTATTTAACAGTATATTGTTTGCATCTTGCAATAAATATTAATATGTTTTTGATCACTTTGTGTTGTGTCTATTTGCCTTTTTATGTTTTGAGGCACTTCTGGCCTTTCAATGTAATTTATAAATGCTTTGTAAGGCATAAATAGTCCTCACTTTAGATGAGCTCACATAAAACACTTTACTAACAAGTAGTAACTACCTTAATAAATCATCAATTAATCATGAATTGCAGTATTAATACGTGTTTATAAAGCATATATTAACATAGTCCCTAACCATTAGTGCATATCTAAATCATTATATATATAAATGCACGGAGGGCACGGGGGATTCCTGGACCGACGGACACCGGAGGCAGGTGCTCGAGGCAGAAGATGCAACGGGGTTGAAGCGGGTGAAAGACGGTGCGTCGGTCCGGGAATCCCCCGTGCCCTCCTTTGTGTTTACGGACTACTCACCGCCGCTCTGCCCTCCGTGGTGTTAACGGACTACACACCGCTGCTCTGCCCTCCGTGGTGTTAACGGACTACACACGCCATCAAGCTGCCAGCCCTCCGGTGTCGAGCCACGGGACTCACACCGTCAATCTGCCTACTCTCTGGTGTCGAGCCACGGGACATCACGCCATCAAGCTACCAGCCCTCCGGTGTCGAGCCACGGGACTCACACCGTCGATCTGCCTACTCTCTGGTGTCGAGCCACGGGACATCACGCTGTCAGTTTCTCGGATTAGCTGTTTCGTGCAGGAACTAGCCCGGACAGTCAAGTCTCCACCAGTTCCAGCACCCGCACTATTCCCTCCTGTCCTCGCTCCGCCGGTCTGGGAATCCCCCGTGCCGGCTCCAGATACCTATGACGGAACACTGGGGAAGTGCCAGGGCTTCCTGTTGTGATGCCAACGGGTATTTGACCGTCAGCCTCAGACTTTTGACTCGGACGGGTCCAAGGTCTCCTACGTGGTTGCATTACTGCGGGGAAGGGCTTTGGACTGGGCCGCGAGAACATTAAGTTTTGATCGGCCAAATGCTGTGCTTTTTGTGGACTTTGTGGAGGATCTGAGGAGGGTTTTTGACCCTCCGGTGGACTCAAATTATGTGTCTAAGCACCTTCTCAGCCGGAGACGGGGCCAAGCAAGTGTAGGGGAACACTCGGTGGTCGACACCGTATCTAGCTGCTGCCTCGGAGCCGCAGCGAACTCTAGTTCCTGTTCCTGCCGCCTCTGCGCCACAGCCAGCTCCTGTTCCTGCCGCCTCTGTGCCGCAGCCAGCTCCTGTTCCTGCCGCCTCTGCGCTGCAGCCAGCTCCAGTCCCAGCCGCCTCTGCCCCGCAGCCAGCTCCAGTCCCGGCCGCCGCCACCTCTGCCCCGCAGCCAGCTCCAGTCCCGGCCGCCGCCGCCTCTGCCCCGCAGCCATCTCCAGTCCCGGCCGCCACCGCCTCTGCCCCGCAGCCAGCTCCAGTGCCGGCCGCCGCCGTCTCCGAACCGCAGCGACCTCCAGTCCCGGCCGGCGCCGCCTCGGAGCCGCATGGACCTCCAATTGCCACCTCGGAGCCGCATCGACCTCCAGTTGCCGCCTTGGAGCCGCAGCGACCTCCAGTGCCTGCCGCCGCTCCCGTCTCGGAGCCGCAGCAACCTCCAGTGCCTGCCGCCGCTGCCGTCACGGAGCAGCAGCGACCTCCAGTTCCTGCCGCCGCTGGACCAGCATCCTATTCCCCGGAGCCCCGACTCAGAGAGTCAGAGTCCAGCCCGCCCGGCCGTCCGCCGGAGCACCCGTGTCCGGAGCCCTTCTGCCCGCTCCGGCCGTCCGCCGGAGCACCCGTGTCCGAAGCAAGTCCGGCCGTCCACCGGAGCACCCGTGTCCAAAGCAAGTCCGGCCGTCCGCCGGAGCACCCTTGTCCGAAGCAAGTTTGGCCATCCGCCGGAGCACCTGTGCCCGAAGCTCTTCTGCAGCCCCGTGGCTGGTCAGATCCAGTCACCCATCCTCCGGACCCCCTCCGCCCACCCTGGTTGGCTTTGTATCTGCTGGGACGTCCCTCCTCCGGACCCCCTCCGCCCACCCTTGTTTGTTGTTCTGGACGGTGTAGCTACGTCTGGAATCCGTTCCTTGAGGGGCGGGGGATACTGTCAGGATCCCTGTCAGACCAGACACCTCCCATGGCCACACAGCTGCAGCCACTCTAGCCGATTACCTCCTGCAGGCTGACACACCAGACTCAGGTCCCACTAACGCTTTCCCTGGCACAATATAAACTCTGGTCCTGCAGTCTGGGGTTGTCAGGTCGTACCGTCTTTCACCCGCTTCAACCCCTTCAACCCCATTGCATCTTCGGCCTCGAGCGCCTGCCTCCGGTGTCCGTCAGTCCGGGAATCCCCCGTGCCCTCCTTTGTGTTTACGGACTACTCACTGCCACTCTGCCCTCCGTGGTGTTAACGGACTACACACCGCTGCTCTGCCCTCCATTGTGTTAACGGACTACACACCGCCGCTCTGCCCTCCGTTGTGTTAACGGACTACTCACGCCGTCAAGCTGCCAGCCCTCCGGTGTCGAGCCACGGGACTCACACCGTCGATCTGCCTACTCTCTGGTGTCGAGCTACGGGACATCACGCCGTCAAGCTGCCAGCCCTCCGGTGTCGAGCCACGGGACTCACACCGTCGATCTGCCTACTCTCTGGTGTCGGACCACGGGCTCCACACCTTCCTGTCATCTTTATTCAGGCTAAATAAAACCTGTTTATACCAACTTCTGTCTCCTGTGGTCTTGCTATTGGGTCCTAACCGTGAACTCCTGTGACACGCTGCTCACTAATCGCTCCAATAACAGCTGCTTCCTCCGTAATAATGCAAACTTTAACTGGACAACAGCTGCTAGTAAAGACAACAAGGTCAGTAATACCTGACCTTAAATAAAAATGTTTTAATATTTTGTCATCTAAAATGTGCGTCACATCCTATTACACCTGTCAAGCGCCTTTCCCTGCAGGTGGCTAATCATGATTTTCAGACCCCCGCCCTCAGTAAATTATCAATGGATAAATCCAAAAAAAGAAAAGTCACGGAGGAAAATAGAGTTTAATTCTGTGTGGACGTATTAATTTGCTTTCACTGCCAACGATGCTGGCTTACCTGAATGCTTGATATGTGCAAACAATGTAATGTTGAATGTCACTTCCAGAACAAGTATCACGCTGGAGATGAGTGAAAAAGAGCGATTTCTCAACTGCTGCAGCAAACTCTCCTCTTCATAAGAGTTTGATATTGTTAGAACAGGTAAAATAGCAATAAAATGTCAAGAATTGTCTCTATTCTTGTTCTATATTTTCATAAATACAACAAACTATAGTTTTTGTATATATAATATAACTATATACTACTTTATAAACTGTGACATCAAATAGCTTTTGCGGCTCCAGATGAATTTTATTTAGTGGAAAATAGGGCAAAATGGCTCTTAGGATATTAAAGGTTGCCGACCCCTGTCTTAAGACATAAAACTCGCCAACAAGCTTCAGATGTCATGCTTATCCTTTGGCCCCTGTCATTGGCAGCCCACTGCTCCTTTATATACAGGGATGGGTCAAATGCAGAGACAAATTTCCCCCTTAACGGGATCAATATAGTACAATAAATAAATAAATATGCTGTAAAGCAATGCACTCACAAAAAACACGTGCTGTGTGCTGAGAGAGCACCATTAAACACTGGGGATATTAACACTCCCTCCTCAGTGTTTATTTAGGTACACAGTGGGGGTTTGTTCAAGTGCAATTGTTTACTCCTGTGGGACTTATACTGCTTTGGCATTATTAAATAAACAGTTCTTTCAAACAACCATCATGGGATGAGTGTTGCTTGCTATGCATAACATGTACAGTATTTCCCCACTGAACAATTTCATGTTTGTTGTTGGTGAAAATATTAACACCTATTGAGAAAAAACAAACTCATGAGACAAAGTTACTGTTACCATTAATGTTTATCTAGCTGTAGACTGTACTCCTCAATGTACAGAGACCCAACTGTAACGGATTGTGTATGGACCCAATTGCAGCACACAGGATTCCAGGAGCCTTTGGCTTTTATTGTAAACTTAACAGGTACAGAGCGATACATCAAAAGTCTCTGGCAGAGCAGCAGGCAGAATGACTCCAAATCAGGAACAAAAGGCTGGTGAGTTTACGTCTCCGTGCGTCCACTGGTTACCCCGTGTTTAATGTCACATTGCAATGAATTG